CACTTGCCGGCCCTATCTTGGTTTTACTCCTGAGGTCTGGGGATAAGCATGGGACTATGGAGGTATCTTTTTTGTGTGTTTTTTTAGGTTTTTGCTTAGTATGCATGCGCTTGCCAGAGAGAGAGAGAGACAGAGACAGTGAGAGAGAAAGTGAAAAATAACCTCCCAGGGAAAATGGACACGCTGTAATCCCTTCTCCTCTATTCTCCTCCCGGGACTTTAGGCATGCATGTACATACACCTGGTGTGATTTTCAAGCCACCAGGATTCAAATTGCAGTCAGCCATGTGGGAGTCCAGCACTTAACCACCATGCCACCTTTTGGCCTCAAGAGGTGTCTGGAGGTCTTAATATTGCAAATCTGCATGCAAACTTAAGAATAGAAACCCCTAGGGCCTATTGGTTAAGAGAGCCAGATTTTACATGGCTGACCAGCACCTGTGGCTTGAAAAACATGCTAAACACCATATATGTGCCCCAAATCCCAACAGAATGGAGAGAGAGAAGAATTGCAGTATGACCATGCCCCATCAGGGGGTGCTTTCTCTCTCACCCTCTCCCTGTCTCACTCTGGTGAGAACATGTGCCCTTGGGCAATTAAAAAAAAAAAAAAGGATGTAAAAGCATAGATTTACTTTTCTGAAGGAAAGGGATTTATGGCATTCACCAGATTCTCAAGGGGCTATAGAACCAAACTAAAGTGGAGAGAAAAGAGACTGGGCCACAATCACACAGTGAGTCACAGCAGATCTAAGACAACTACTGTGTCCCAGATTCTCTATAATGCCCTCCACCTCCTGACCCCGGGAAAGGCCATTTTCTTCAATGCACCAGATGGGCCTTGTTGGGTGGGAACATCATGGTTCCCAACAGGTAGAGGCTCTTGCAGGCACTGCCCATGGACGCTGGCAGAGAAGTGGGAAGACCCTGGAGCTGCACAAGAACCAACTTACCCTGAACTCCCCAAGCAAAGCAAAGGCAACAGATGTATGGCCTCTAGAACCTGAACGGATTTCTAGTAAGATGGGTTTGGTTCTTTGGTTCAAATTGTTGATAAATGTCTAGTTCAAATCTTCCGTGTGTTTCCAGTCTCCACTGGACACCATGCTGGCCTAGAAGGAGTCAGCCCCCAAGGCAAATTGAACCGATTGATTGAACACAACGGCAAAGTATGAAAATTAATTGAGATATTTAATAGACAGTGCAAACCATAATTTCATCTGAATATAAATGTATGCACATGTTTCCAATGAGTTATCTATCAGTTATCACAAACAGCAACAAGGACCTTAGAGTTATGTTAGAAAACTGTATAGCTGGAATTTAATTCTAACAGTCTCACTTGCTCTCAGGAGAACACCATCCATTTCAAATCAGTGCCACAAACTCCAAAAGACCAGGGGAGCGGGAGTGAGGGGTGGGCCAGAGTGGGAAACAGAGAGGCCAGTACACAGGTGATGAACAGAGATACAGCTCTCGATGCATTATTACAGCTAAAGACAAGGAAAAGCCTATGGCTTTTAAAAAACGACTTTTCTGCCAGTACCATACAAGTCTTACAAAGAGATGTGCGACGAGTCAACTGACTTAAAAGGACAGAGGCTACATTTTCAGGTCATTTCAACTGCAAACAGTTGACCCTTTCCATTGAGGATTCTGCAGTGGAGTTAGCGTAGTCCAGAAGCTCAATGTTGGATTTGCAAATACAGTTTATTTTACAGAAATTCAACATTATAAACAGCAGGCACCTCCCACCCCC